TGGAAGGGAAGAAGTATCACTTCTTTCTCAAGTGGAGTGTTTACACCTTGATGTAACATTTGAACTTTCACAAGAGATGTAATAATTTTGATAATAAAATTCTTAACCATAATAATCATAAAGTTGAGAACTTCTTTGTCCAGTTCTGTGACCTTGCCTTGCAGTGTTTTCCTAACTTTTTTTTTTTTTTTGTAATATATCTTTATTGATTTCAGAGAGAGGAAGGAAAAGGGAGAGAGAAAGAGAGAGAGAAACATCAGTGATGAGAGAGTCATCACTGATTGGCTGCCCCCTGCAACCCAGGCATGTGCCCTGACCGGGAATCGAACCACCATCTCCTAAATACTAGATCAGTGCTCAACCGCTGAGCCACGCCCAGCCTGGCTCCTAACTATTTCCTTACCTGAGGAGAGCAAGGTATACCCACGTTCAGGAGAATGTGCTTTTGGTGTAGTTGTGCCCATAATGGGGCCAAGAATATGGATTGATCTTCCTTCTGCCTTTTAAGGTGACTAAGGGCAGGTCAGCCTGCAGCAGTGGGACTGAACATTGCAAACTGACTTGAACCAGACTAGAGTTCCCGACCTTGACCTTAACCTTATTCATTCAGCATCTATTAATTGGCCTTTTTCTTCTCAAACAGTTCCAGGCATTGTTTTTGTTGGGTTTATGTGATTAAAATGGGGCATGAGGCAGGCAGATAAAATCTCAGCTTTCCTAGTGCTTACAATCTGAAGCAGGGTGAGAACTAAACCAGTCCATAATTTCAAGTAGCCATTACCATGTTATTGTTTCATAGCTGTTATGTAACTAGGGAGGTTAAGAGGCCACTCCAAAATGATTGATCAGGGTAAGAAGGTGACATTTAAGCTGAGGCCTCAGCAATAAGGAGGTTCTCATGGGATGATATGAATAAAGATCATTCCTGGGGAGTTAGAACAGCAGGTGCAAAGCAAGAATGGTATGGTTAGGATATAGTGAATGACCAGGGCAGGGTGTGGTAGATATCCAGTAGGACAGGAAGATAGGGGTTGGATCATGTGGCACAGGGGTCAGCAAACTGTTTATGAAGGGCCACGTAATATTTAGGCTTTGCAAGCCATATGGTCTCTGTTACAACTATTCAACTCTGCCGTTGCAATACAAAAGTAGCCGTAGGCAGTATGTGGCTGTGCTCCAGTAAAGCTATATTTACAGAAATATGTGACTAGTCAGATTTGCTGGTCCAGATTTAAGGTACAGCCTGTGGGCTTAGTTTAAAGAATCTGGATTCTAAGTACAGTGGGAAAGTCATTGCAGAATATTAAGCAGAGAAGTGACATGGTCTAATTTATGTTTTGTTGGTTGGGTAGTTTTTTAAAATTACTCTGATTGTTTTGATCCTATTGGGAGAGAAATAGATGCCGGGAAACCAGTTTGGAAGCTATAGCAGTGTTTCAGGCAAGCAGCAATACAGTGGTGACTTCTATTAAGACAATAATAATGGGTAAGGAGAAGGACTTGGAATTGGCATGTTTTGCAGCTAAACAGCAGTGCTTGCTGATGGTTTGCTATGAAAGTGTTTTGCTCTAACATTTGACAAATATTGACTGAGACCTACAATAGACTACATTTTGCTAAGCATATAAGGGATTCAAAGATGGAGAAAATGCTGCCCATTTCTTTAAGGAGCTTAGAAAATAACCAATTAGAGACATAATAAAAATGATTGTCTTTTTAGAAGACCTTTCCCAAATGCCTATAGGAATACTTAGGTAACCTTACAACAGCCACAACTGAATTCTGCCTGGGGTAAAAGGAAAATAGGTACATAGTCGTCTTTAAAAAGCATTTCCATGTGTAGTGTCTTACTTGGTCTCATAATTCTGTGCTGAAAGCAAGTCAGATGCTTAAAGATAAGAAATTGAGGCCTGGTGCAGTGTTCCAGCTGTACCCTAGGGCTTCTGATTATGAATAAGCTCATCTGATTATTGCCAGAATTGGAAGATGCTGTTCCATAATCATTTACTAAATACCTGCTGTGTGCTGGGCTATATGTAAGGTGCTAGGAATGTGAAGGTAAGAGCCATCTGGCTATTAGGAATTAGTATATTTGCTATTGTTATCAAGTACCTACTCCATTACTAGGTACATTTATATACTTATATTTATACTCTAAATGTAAGAAGCTGGCCTGGCCGGGCATGGCTCAGCGGTTGAGCGCCAACCTAGGATCCAGGCGATCGGGGTTCGATTCCCGGTCAGGGCACATGCCCAGGTTGTGGGCTCGATCCCCAGTCAGGTGCTGCAGGAGGCAGCTGATCAATGACTCGTTCATCACTGATGTTTCTCTCTCTCCCTCTTTCTTCCTCTCTCTGAAATCAATAAAGATACATTTTATAAATAAATAAATAAATGTAAGAAGCTGAACAGTATTAAACTAGTGTGATCATACATCTTATTTATGACTTTCCAGTTTACCAGATTCTTCCATTTATGCCATCAGCTAGCTGATTCACACTTAACAATGCATAAGGAAGGTATTATTTTTGATTTATAATTTTTCAATGAATTTTAGAGGATACAACTTACAAAGATTTCTCTCTTCTAAATGGCAGGCCCAAACTGAGTTTTGGAAATTTTGCGGTTTATCCAGGAAAAAATAGAGAAAGCTAGAGTTGCTGTGAAACTATGACTAGAAATCGCTTAACTAGCTGAAAAAAATGTCATACCTTTTTCTACCTTGTAAACAGCAGTCAGGCCTTTTTGGCCCTCGGACATCAGTGTGATGGTACAGAGTTCTCTGTTTAGCAGAAGTCACCCTGAAGAAAAAAGTGCACCATTGTCTAAATGAAGTAGGCCATTTTCTTTGAAAGTACATAGATAATCAACTCATCAACCAGAACTGGGACAACCCCTATAACCTTCTGTGAGGCTCAAAGAGATAAGAGGATTTTTTGCCAAGGTTCTCAATATATATACCCTGTGCTCAAGATTGATAAAGGCAACAGCTTGGAGAAAAGCATAGCTGTTGAAGGAGATGGTGTTCCCCTATAACTTTTACCTGTTCTATATTCAAAACTTAACCAGGCAGAGATATTCTTTGAATATGTCTCAAATCCCTCATAAAAGTGCACAGAAGAGTGGTCATGATAGCAAAACAAAACCTTAGGCAACATTACAGGAAAACTAGGTATCCCCATGAGCACCAAAATAAGGTATGTAGAAATAAACTACCAAGAGCCACAAGACCTTCATGGTATCTCCTGTTCCAGAAGAAGCAATGGAGCATCTGATGAATCTCAACTCCAAAACAAGTTCTCACTTGAAAGTTCAATGAGCCAATTTGAGAACTATAACCAAAATTTGGGAGAGGTTTGCATTGGGTACCAAGGATGTTTGGTTAAGCCAAAGGGCTGGAGCAGTCTGCGCCCAAAAAACTTACAACCAGCAACGCCCCCAGGACAGAGCTCGATGTTGAAAAGATACTCCTAATAGAATCCAAATTTATCAGGACAATCAAAAGAGAGATGAGGTTGGGAGATCACATTCAGTGAAGTATTTTGAATAAAAGTGAAACTAGGATTGACCCATTAAATCCAAGATGTATTGTCCTTCTAGGGGCAGTATATTGAACAACTTACCTTGTTAACTCCTGAGAGAAACAGTTATAAAGTCCTGGCATATTCTGTGCTGAGTTCAAACAGTGGTGGTTTGCACATTTCATATTTTAATGTTTTACATACAAAAAGTACTGCAGAAACTTGAAACTAGGAAAACTCATAAATCCTGTCTGCTTAAAATTGCAGAAAAACTAACTCAAATATGCAGAACAGAAAGGATCAAAGTGAAATGCCAATGAAAACAGGATAATATCCCCACAGAGTAAAGACATGCTAGAGGCATGCAGATAAAGTGGCATCTCCAAGAACTAGGGAGGAGGGGCACTTCCTCAACTTGATAAAGAATAGCTACAAAAACTTACAGCTAACGTCCTACTTAGTCAAGAGAGACGAGGACCTCTGACACTAAGATCAGGAATGAGACACATGTTCACTCTTACAACATTCATGCTGGAAGTCCTAGCTA